GCCTTCGCCAGGAAGGGTGACATGGACCTGTGGGGTGCGACGGTCTCGGTCACAGCAGGAGGGCAGTGGACGCAGCAGAGGCAGCACGACGCTGGGTGCCAAGTCGATCGTCGGCGCCCACGGTGCAGAGCTGCCCCTGAGACGCTGCGCCACCGCATCTGGGAGTGTCCGAAAAATTGCTCCCACCCTGATTACACGTCTACGGGCGCACTCATCTCGCAGGCGTTGGCGAATGCTGACCTCGACCCTTCTTTGTGGTTGAGGGGTGTGCCTGCAGCCAGTCTCACTGCTCCTCGGTTTCAGGAGGGACCTGGTTTTTCCGAACTTATTTTCCTCCGCCAGTGCTTGCTGAAGGAGCTCTCGGCCCCTGCGGGGCACCCCCCTCTACCTGTTTGGGGACGGCTCAGGGGGAGAGCACAGCTCAGACGATCGTCGGAGACGCTGCGAAGCAGCGGTGGTAGTCATTCGTCGGACTTCGGACGGGGATCCTTCTGATGCTATGTGGCTCCCCGTCTGCGGTGTGGCTGCCTGTCTCTCAGGACGACGACAGACTGCGCCCCGACCGGAGCTCTTGGCACTGGCCTTGGGCCTCGAGAGTTCGTCTGGTGATATCGTTTACGCTTGTGATTGCAAGCCTGTCGTTGAAGGCTGGAGGTCTGGCCGCGCTTCGCGGCCTTATGGCCGAAATTCTGATCTCTGGGTTAGAATCCTGCAGGCGGCCAAAAATCGTGGACCAGGGTCCGTGGAGGTTGTCTGGACTGCTTCCCACCTGGAAGCTGAGCCCGAGCGTATCACCTCCCCTTTTCAAGCCATCCTCTCTCACGGCAATGCTTGTGCTGATGTCTGGGCGGGGTGGGCGGCGAGGAGGGGGTGGGAAACGTCGGTCAGACACCCGGTCCCGTTCACGGGTCGCTGGGATGTCACTGCCTTGCTAGTGCGAAGAAGAGCTCGGCGCGCATTGATCGATAGTGTTGCTGTTGCTCCTGAATTCGGCCCCCGAGTACCCAGGCCCAGGACCCAGTCTTCGTCCAAACTGGCTCGGGCCCTGAACTCATCGTCGCACCGCCTGTCGCGGCGCAGCAATCGTTGGATGTGTTTTGGATGCTCTCAGATCGTGCCTCGGTCGAAGCTCCTGGAATTCGCGGCCACGGCGTGCCCTACGGGTGCTGGGCCTGGCCCTCCTTCCTCCGCTGGCCTCTGTGACCGTTTCCTCGGCGACGGTTTCCTGGCGGTGTGCGGGGCGACCAAGGTTGGAGGCGTGGCCTTGCATCCCTCTCGCGCCCTCAGGGAGTGGTCCCGTTTTGGCCTCAAGTTTTGTGCCGTTTGTGGGTTCACGGCTGCGGTTGACGGACGCAACCTGGCCAACCCTTGTGCTCCGCCCCCCCGCAAAGGGAGGGAGAATCTGAGCCGCCTCGCGAAAGTACTGTATCCGTCGCACCGTGGACCCCCCTCGTCGCTGGTGGTCGCTGAGATCCAGGCCCAGGCTTCGAGAGCCCAGTCCTTTCCTCGGCTTCCTTCATCCGAGGCTGTGCCTGTCCGCCTGAATGAATATCTCAGGCTTGTTGCCGTCCCAGACGAGGACGGTGAATTTGCGTGGCAGCCTGAGTGCGAGTGTGCCCCGCTCACGCCGCCTGCGGGCGGGGCTCCACCGTCGAGTGTCCCCTCGGCCCCATCCGTGGGCTGCGGAGGGAAGGTCGGTGGGCGTGGGACTTGCAAGGGAGTGAGGTCGGGGGCGTCGTCGTCGGTCGCGGCGGCGAGTGCGGTCGGCGGGGAGCGAGCGAGGGAGAGAGCCACCCCGCGCCGCCGCCCTGCCGCCGCCCCGCGTCGGCGGCCTGCGGCATCGTCTACGCCAGGCGCGCCGCCCCCGCCCCCCCCTGCCCCCCCCCCCCCACCGTCTGCTTAGCCCCGCACGCGCGTGCACTCTTCATCCGCATCCGCATCCTCCTCCTCCTCCCTGCCTTAGGGGCTGCACGAAATACACGGCCGATTTGCAGCCTCGAAAAGCGAAGAAGATCGCGGCGGCGATCTCCTTCGATTTTTCGAGGCCGCGCTCCCGAGCGTGCGAGCTGGGAATTCCCATTGGACCTGGTGATTGCTTGTGGATGGCCAGATTGGTGCCTCAACCTGGTCAAGGCGCTGTGCCACAATGGTCGGTGCCAGATCATCACCCAGGGCGCAAAGTTCGACGGTCTTCAGCTGACCGCGGGGGTCCGGCAGGGCTGCCCTCTTTCGCCTTGTTGTTTTTTGCTGTCAGTGCTCTCGGACGTCCTGCTACGCCGTCTTTCTCGCTTGATCCCAGAGTCCCTCCAGCGGGCTTGCGCAGACGACCGCGCCACGGCTCCCGCCTACTGCACAAGGGACGCCCCTATCGTCGAGCACGCTTTCGACGAATACGAGCGGCTGGCGGGGCTACGGTTGCACAGGGTGAAGACACTTTGGGCCCCTCTTTCAGTGGTTCCCACGGCTGTGGCCCGGGCGAACTTGCAGGCTGCAGCACCGACTTGGAGAGAGTTCGCCGTGCGCCGGCACGCCACGCACTTCGGTTTCGAGGTGGGGCCCGAGCGCGGGGAACTGTCTTGGACCAAGCCGCTGGAGAAGTACATCGCGCGGGCGCGCACGTGGAGAGCCATAGGGGGTGGCATGTGCATCACCATGCTGGCGTACCGCGTCTACATCTTCTCCGTACTGCGCTTCCTGATGCAATTGGACCGCCTGCCGTCGTCATGGAACGAGCACGAGCAGAAGGCGTGCGTGTTGCTCTTTCCGGGGCCGCGCAACTGGATGATGCCTGCCGCCCTGCGGGACCTTCGTTCCCTGGGGCTCCTGGCGCAGATCCCCGACGCCACCGCGGTGGCCTTGGCGGCCAGATGCCGGGTGCATCGTTGGGAGGCCGACGCCAGCGGCGGCTTACGGATCCCACGCCGGCGTCGCACACTGCAAGAGAAGACGACACGCCGAACCGGGTCGCGCAATTTGGTACTCCAGATTTCGCAATAAAAGGGAGGGGGTCTCATTTCGGGGGGGGGTCTCTTCCAGGCTATCTTGGAGGGCCTGGGGGGATCTGGGAACGATGTTTTGGAGGGTTCCCCCACGGGGGGGGGGTCTAAAACTTTTCGTCTGGGAGGGTTGAGACCCCCTCCCTTTTAGTACGAAATCTGGAGTACGTGGTCATACTCGTACGAGAACAATTTCAGCCTGAACCTCCACGCGGACCACGCCGGCCTCGAGTCCTGCGCGACGGCGGCAGGCCTCTCGATCGCCCTGTTGGCCCAGGGAGCACCCGGTGAGCTTGCGCATATCGGGGGCAGCGGCAGCGGCGGTGCCGCCAACTGCTTACGTGGCCCTGCCAGCTGAGCTCCACGAAGGATTGCAAAAAAAAACAGGATTGCAAAAACAAACAGGGTTTTTTTGCAATCCTTCGTGAGCTCTCTCGGTCCCTGTCTCGCTTGCAGTACGCCGCGGGCGCTGCAGGTGTTTCGCGCCCTCGCGCCGCCTGTGCCTCCCAGGTGCGGGCTTCTCTCTACAGGGCGCTGTGCGACAGCTGGACGGCAGCTCGCCGTTCTGGACGGTGGGATCCGTGCCCTTTCGGGTGCGCGCGCGGCGAGGACAGCCTGGTACATTATGCGCTGTGCCCCTCCTTATCGGAGCTGGGCTACAGGCATTTGCGGCTATCCCGCCCCGCGCACGAGGAACAGCGGTCGTGTTTCGCGTAGCTCTGGAGCCGGCGTTTTGTAAGAGCGCAGCTCCAGTGTTAGCCCGTCGTGCCGTGGCAGAAGATTGTACATGCGTTGCTGCCTGCGCCGCCCGGCATAGCGTTACCGCAGACGCGGCGGGCGCTTGGTGGCAGCATGGTCGAGACGCTTGTGCGGCTCACCCATCATTGGTTGCAATCGTTTTTACAATATGGCGAGACTTGCAAGGTCGCCGTCGGGATGGTGGCATGTCACCACGAGGACGACGACGAGTGCGGCGAAGCGACCACGGCGATCGAGGCTTAGCCGTGCTTCGCGCTTGTCTTCGGGATCAGGCCGGCCCCCGAGAAGGCCTCTGGAGGCCCTTGCCAGGTTGGGTGAGAAGGGGGGCTTACTTCGAATTGTCGACGCATCGACGACGCATTGACGACGCATCGTTGATATCGGTGCGATGATTCGACGATGTATAGACGATCGATGAGGCGGTCTTCATCGACGATGTATCGACGATGCATGTGTGACGTATCGGCCATTCGAGGTCGATGCATTTCCCCTATTTCGATCCCCACCTCGTTGCCCCTCAAGGGAGGGGGGGAGGGCATAAACCGCTGCACGCAGCTCGCCTCGGTCCTGGGCGCCGGTCGCTTTCCTCGACATGGGCGCCGCCCGGGAAAACCTCCAGGAAAACCAGCCACAGGAGCCGATTCGCTGACATCTGGCGTTTGTGAACGGTGGGGAAGCACATGAGTGGAGTTGACGAAAGGTGCACATTTCCAGCATCTTCTTGGGCAAGCGGTGGCAGGTTCGATGCCGTTCACGGCCTCTGCAGGGCCACTGTCCTGCCTTCCTCGACCTTTGTTTATCGGGGGCCCTCGAAATGTGCGGTGACCACACCGTGTGGTGAGTCCGTGGGGACTCGTTGTGACCGAACGGTTTTGGGACTTGGGTCGTTATCTGAGGATGCCTCTGGCGACTGGGGCCTCCGAGGTCCCAGAGCCGCGCGGCTACGAACCGTGCGGCGAGGTTAAGGGGGAATTCGAGGTCACCGCACGGCCTGCCGCCGCACCACCTTGGGACCCCCCGATGTTATCATCAGCCCTCGCTACCGGGCGCCCAATCGTGAAATACCACTTTAGTACCCCACCCCCCGTGTTCGATCAGGGCCCCCTGTGACACGCAACCTTCCAGCCTTCGCGCCAAAGACCGCAGAAAGCCGCCGCCAGAAGACCGCCGAAGACCGCCCGAGGCCGAGGGGGGCAAGCAGGGGCCCACTGCCGAGTACCTAGCCCCGGCCAACCAACCAGAAAGGTCCTTGTCGAGCGGGGAGGTGCTGCAGAGATTCAAGGTCACTGCCGGGTACGGCCACTTGCAGAAGTTCCGCGTGGCTGCCGAGGGTGAGCTCTGAGAAGCAGGATCGGCGGCGAGCCCGGGGCTGGAAGTGACAGGAGGCGGGCCCTCTCGGAAGGCTCGGAAGCCCCCCAGCCTTCTGAGAAGTCTTCTAAGCCTTCCCCGAAGACAGGGAGCTTCTCCAGAAGGCGCGCGAGCTTCTGAGAAGTCCCGCCGCCTTCTGAGGAGGCCTTCTCCTCCCGATTACCCCCCCCTCGCTCCCCGCCTGCAGGGGGGCCCAGCTGGGGTGGTCCGAAAGGGGGCGGAATCGAATGAGACAAAACTGCACAGCACACATAAACTTCTGGAGGTTCGCGCGGATTTCACGGATCTGCACTGGGCCCCCCTGGCAGCGCCTCTGGCGCCGACCTCGGCACGCTCTAATCACGCGTCAGGGATAGGGGTCCAGCGCCGACCGGAGACATTTGCGCGGACCTCCGAAAGTTGACTCTGGGGGGCGTCACCCTCGCCGACAGCCCCACATCGACCCCCGTCGCGGGCAGCCACCGCGCGCCGAAGGCGCTCCGACCCCCGTCGCGGCACGACGACGAGGCGAGGCTGACCCCCGTCGGGGGGGTACCCCCCAGGCGTATTAAGAAACCCAGAGTAGGCGTATGCGTTTCACTGTTCCTCCATGGAGGGGAGTATGGTATTAGAGCTTCTGCTTTTCCAGGCCGCCCGGATGGGATCGAAGTTAGCTGGGGTCGGTGGATCGCGGCCTCACCACCGATGCATAGGCGATGCAGCTCAATGTGGAGCCCGACTTTCTCCACGCTGACGTTGCCCATGCATCGCCAACGTCACCGAAGTATCGACGATGCGGCGCGATCCTCCGACCCCACCTGCTCGGACCCCATTTGGGCGACCTCCGTGCATGCAGCTGGATTCGGCTCCACCGCAGGACGTCTTCCTCTGCCTACGATCGCGCCCGGCGTCTCGAGCCGCCCGAAGTGTTAATTGCGTGTGGTTGGTTCGCGCTCCCCCATTCTCCTGTGCTACCGCCACTCTTTTGCCCACCCCGACTTGTGTATTTTCCAGGACGGGCGGCGATCCCAAACGCAGCTCAATTAGACTTTCGCGCGCGCCCATGAGACACATTGGCGTCTAAAAAACGCATCGGACAAACGATGTTGGTATCGGTGCAGGTGATCAATCTCGGCAGATACTGACAGGGGCCTCTTAGTAATACATGGAAGCCGCTAGAAAGCACCCCCATCCGCATCACCATCGCAATCCTCCCTCTCCTTTTCTCCCCCTCCTCCTCCTTTTCCCTTGTACGCTTCCTCTTCGTCCCCCTCCTCCAACCCTCCTCGTCATTTTCATCCCCCTCCTCCTCCTCCTCGTCATTTTCGTCTCCCTCCTCCTCGTCCTCCTTTTCTTCTCCCACCCTCCTCCCTTCTCCTCCTTTTCCCTGGTACGCCTCCTCTTCGTCCCCCTCCTCCCACCCTCCTCCTCGTCATGCTCATCCCGTTCCCCCCGTCGGTGATCTGGCTCTCCGCTGGCCCGTGCACATCCGTTTGGAAGCCTCCGGCAGCTGCACGGGTGGAGTGCCTCGGGTTCTCGGAGTGCGGTTCTGGCCTCCGCGGCGCACACGTTCGTCTTCAAAGTTTCCTCCAGATGGGGTCGCCTCCTCTCTCGTTTCCTGTTCTCCCGCTTTGTCGTTTCTGCGCTTTGGGGCTCGTCGTTGCTTCTCCCTCGGCCTCGTCTTCCTCCCCTTCTCCCTCGTTCCCCCTCCGCCCTCCCTGAAAGCGAAGTCAGAAGGAAGGAACAAAAACAAAAAATCCTCCAGATGTAAGACTTGAAAGCATCATGCTTGTTTCAGGCTGCCCTCGCCTGGGAAGTCCTCAGAGTGGAAGGTCCGAGAGGACGGCTTGACTGCGAGATGTGGCTCTTGTTCAGGACGTCTTCCAATGCTCCTGCAAGAGAACTTCAACGTGCTAAGCGTTACACAGCTCGAGCGCGAAAGGCTTCGGCCTCAGCATGAAGAAGCCCCGAAGGGTCGAAGCTTGCACCAACTGCACGGATGGAGGGCCTTACACCCATGAGAAATCTTAAGAAAAAAGCAGCAGCGTTCGTGGACTCCAGACTTCGCTTATGAAAATCCAGAATATGCACTGGACCCATGTTTCCCAACCCTCCTTGGTTGGGTATTCGTTTTGAATAGAGCAGTGTGGTCGCGTCTCCTCCCGCCTCCCTCCTGCCTCCTGCCTGCCTCCTCCTGTCTTGCCTGCGGGGGGCTGCGATCTGTGAAACTGTCGCCACTTTCGAGGCCTGCTGGGGGGCCCAGCACAGTGAGGGCCACGGGCGGACTCAAATTAGACCTCGCCATCCCTGGGGGGCTGCGATCTGCGAAACTGTCGCCATTTTCGAGGCCTGCTGCACGGCAGCACAGTGGGCGCGGATTCAAATTAGACCTCGCCATCCCTGGGGGGCTGCGATCTGTGAAACTGTCGCCACTTTCGAGGCCTGCTGGGGGGCCCAGCACAGTGAGGGCCACGGCGGATTCAAATTAGACCTCGCCATCCCTGGGGGGCTGCGATCTGCGAAACTGTCGCCATTTTCGAGGCCTGCTGGGGGGCCCAGCACAGTGAGGGCCACGGGCGGACCCAAATTAGACCTCGCCATCCCTGGGGGGCTGCGATCTGTGAAACTGTCGCCATTTTCGAGGCCTGCTGGGGGGCCCAGCACAGTGAGGGCCACGGGCGGATTCAAATTAGACCTCGCCATCCCTGGGGGGCTGCGATCTGTGAAACTGTCGCCACTTTCGAGGCCTGCTGGGGGGCCCAGCACAGTCACGCGGATTCAAAGACCTCGCCATCCCTGGGGGGCTGCGATCTGCACTGTCGCCATCGAGGATTCAAATTAGACCTCGCCACTGGGGGGCTGCGATCTGCGAAACTGCCGCCTTTCGAGGCCTGCTGGGGGGCCCAGCACAGTGAGGGCCACGGGCAGATTCAAGTTAGATCTCGCCATCGCTGGGGGGCTGCGATCTGTGAAACTGTTGCCACATTCGAGGCCTGCTTGGCGGGCCCAGCACAGTGACGCGCTACGCGGATCCACAATAGACCTCCGTATCCTTGGGCCGGAGGGGCTGCGGGTCAGGAGGTGGCGGCGGAGTCGGAGGAAGAGGAGGAGGCGAATGAGGAGCAGGACGTTCGCCGGTTGACTGGGACGTCGTCGGCGTCGTCGCCGCCGTCGTCGTCGTCATCGTCGTCGTCGTTGTCGCCGTCGGCGTCGTCATCGTCGTCGGCGTCGTCATTCTCGTCACCGTCGGGTCGCCGACGTCGTCGCCGTCGCCGTCGTCGTCGTTGAGTCGTCGTCACCGTCGTCGTCTTCATCGTCGTAGTCATCGTCATCGTCGTAGTCACCGTCGACTCTGGGGTGCTCAGGGATTGTAACTAATCAGTTTTATCAAGTCCTTGTCCTGTAGCCAGTGTCCTGCGAGTCTCCCGGATTCCGTCTGCAGACATATGTAACCCTCGCTCCGTCATCGGCCCCCATTTATAAAGTGTCCTAAACTATTGGCGCCCCGCGTTTGCGCAGGGGTTGGGTACGTCGCCAGGGTAATTTCCTTGGGGCTTACTTCGTCGTAGCAGGTTCGTATACGTGGACCTGTACTACTGGTTAAGAAAACGCTTCGAGTGAAGTCCATCTGCTTAGCCTGAAATGTCCTGAACTCTGAGCCGGGGCGTATGCTTCCAGATCGTGCTATCGCTCCAGAAGCGCACAAATATTCGACTAAAGCTTCTACATACAGTCAAGACGCGGAGATGATGACCAATTTGGGCTCAGGAGGGGCCTTCGTTCCGGGCCGTTCCTAAGATCTAGGTCGCGGAGCCTCTTCGTGGCCGAGGCTCGCCGCGGCCAAACAAAGTCACTCCGTTCCTTACTCAGCGTTCCTCATGGTAGCACGACTGTACTCTACCACGGCTTCTTCCAGGTACACGCATGGCGGGCGAGGCGCTCTCAAAGTTGCTGCCATGTGCCATGTGTAACGCTACAGGCCGACTCCTGACACGGCGATGCGGGGCTCTAACCAGGCAGACCCACGGGTCCTCCACCCTTCCAAGGGGGGTGCTTGCCGTGGTGGAGCGAATTGCTTGCGCTGAGCTCCGCGGAGGGACGCTGGACGGGCGGCTGTATTGCAGAGTCAGTGGTGTGTATGTGTGTGTGGGTATGTGTATGTGGGTCGTGTGTGTGTGTCGTGTGTGTGTGTGTCTCGTGTGAGTGTGTGTTCGTGTGTGTTTGCGTGTGGGCTTGTGTGTTTGCGTGTGTTTGCGTGCGTTTGCGCGTGTTTGTGTGTATGTGTGCTTGTGTGGGCGTTTGAGTGTCGTGTGTGTGTGTTCGTTTGCGGAGACAACGGTGTGCGTGCGTGCGTGCGCGCGCGCGTGTGTGTGCTTCCCCTTTCGGTCGCCGCGAGGCCGCTCCCGCCTCCATTCAGCCGGCAGTCCCCAGGCTTCCAGCCCAGGGTCGCCTCGCCGCCCCCGCATCGGCGGTCACCTGCTTTCCACTCTCCACCCTCGGCTACCTGTCATCTCCTCTCCGCCGCTCCTGCTGCGCCTGTCCTGCCTGCCCTGCATTGCCACTCGCCCCTTTCGGTCACGCCTGTGCCATCACTGCGCCTCGCTTTGATCCCCTCTTTTTGTCGGTACTTGCCTCTTGACTCTGCTTCGCTCCCTGCGTCCCTCCCCCCCGCAGCCCACGCCCGGATGTGCGCATGACACGGTTGATCACCTGTGGTGGACCCATGGCCTTGGCTTCTGAGTGGGCCGGCCGCGCGCGCGCTTCCCCGTTTTCCGACCTTTTGCGCCTCGACGCTGCGCGCGAGGCCTCGACGAAAAGAAGGGTGTTAGAGTGTTGGTGTGTGGATGTGTGGGGGTGCGTGCGTGTGTGTGTGTGTACTCGTGTGTGTTTGAATGTGTGTGTGTGTGTGTTGGAGGCTGAGGCCGTGATACGGCTAAGGAAGACTTTCGTCATTGGAGCGCGCAGCCTGCCTCTTTTCCTCCTCCCCGGCCGCCC